AAAAACCCTGCCATGATATAAATCATGAAGTTCTAAAGGTTTTTCACTGATTTAATGCTGGGAGCTTTTACCTCGGTCTAAATACAGGATAGAGTGATGGCAGAGGATTTGGACTGAAAAGTGATAGCAGAATAACTGGGGGCAGGGGAAAGGTTTGATTTTCGGAGGGGTCACTAGTGGGTAGCTCTGGCAAATACTGTTTTCTTTGATCTCTCTGAGTTTTCTTTGAGTTCTTTGGTTTTCAGAAAGTTTATTTGTCAGGAGATAATCAGTAAATGTTAGTCATTAGTTCATTAGTAAATAAGTAGAATGCTTTAAAGGTGGATTAGAAAGCTGTTTTCAGAAAGAAATTTATTTTTGTGCTCTGGCAGATTGACATTTCAATGGGATGGGAGTGGCTGTAAGGCAATACCTGGGAGTGTTAGCTCTGGGAGCTTCTTGGGTTTTGCCTCATTACAGCTCAGGTCTTTATCTCGGGCTGGATTCCTGGAGGCACGATGAGTTTTTAAAAGGAAATGGAACGAAACAGCTCAGTAAGGTGGTAGCTGAAGTTAGAAAAAATCACAACAGTAAGGCATCGTTGTGTGTTAGGGCATGGAAAGGGAAAAAGAGGAGGTGATCCTGATACAGGTTTAAAATGTGTAAGGATTTAGGATTAAAAGACCTGGGAATCCGAGGGTTTATTGTCCTGTAAAGTAGGATCTAAAGCTGTGAGATGGCAGCGTTTTGGGACATGGGACCTGTTGTTTGTTGCTGTTAGTGTGTACATCTCTGCACGCTGATGGCTGTGCTTCATGCGGCACGTTGTGTGTGCTCCTCCTGCAGCAGCCTTCAAGGCTTTGTGGGAATTCCTCATTGCTGTGTCAGTGTCGGGGAGTTTTCCCCGCAGTCTGGGGTTGTACAGAGGATTTTGTGAGTAGTCGGTGCTCCGAATGAATCAAATCTTTTTTTCAAGAGCCGGCAATAAAGCCTTCTCAAAGGAAGTGCAGGTCACGAGGCTGTTTCTCAGAAACACGTGTGGTCAGAGGCTTTTATTGTCATGCTAATGTATCAGACACGCAATCAGCTGGTGCTGCTGCTGCCATTCCTCCAAATCAGAAGTTGAACTCTTTAAATTTTTATTTTTATATTGTAAAACTGTCCTTAGATATATACCCTTTTTTTTTTTTTTCCTCATTGCATCTTATTAGTTCCAACCTCACCCCAAAGCAGAGACCTCAAAGGGACAATCATCTGATCCAGATAAACATCTTGCGTCTGATCACAAAATTGAAGGAAGGCAATGGATGTATGAGATCCTCCTTTCCTAAGACAGCTCCCCATGCTCTTAGATTTCTACTCAGAGCTGTGTTACAACCAAGCAGTGGGTCCTTCAGTGATGTTATTTGCAAGTCAGGCAGAGATAAGCTCTTCGTTTAACCAGCAGGCAGTTAGGGTTTGAAAGCATGCCACGACAGCTAGGCTGGGCACGGAGAGGTAACAGAAAGTGTCCCAGCAATTCGGCTGTGCTGACAAAACACCTCCAGGTAGGTGCAGCTTCTCAACAGCAAGCGACCCTGGCTGTGTGGTTGGGGCCTGGCATCGCTTACAGACACCATAACCACTGCCCCTGAGTGCTTGTTTTGGGAGAAACTTCCCTGGTGAATCTTCTCATAGATCTCAGCCTTTAAAACAAACACCCCTTGCCAGGTAGGAGCACGTCACCCTATTTGAGTTTTACTACTCACCTCATGGTGACGTGCACAGGCGCTTCCTACAGTTTCCTTCCCCTCGTGGAGGAGCAGGGTGAATCGATAACGAGTGATGCTAATGACGCTGCACTTGTGGTAAGGTGCTCTGTGCCCTAAAGGCCTGTGGTAATATTATAATACCAGTCTCTAGTTTGGGGTTGTGCTTCTGAGTAGCAGTTTACGAAGAAGTGACAGAGTGCAAAAAATGATCTGCTTGTGTTTCACCCCGAGGGCGACGTGGAAGTGAAGCACCCAAGCCTCAGCACACAAACCACGTGTTCCTGCTGTTTAAAACTCTTGATTTTTATCTAGCACAACCATAAAATGAAGGTCTGATCCTGCTAGGATTGAGCTGAAATGCTAATTGCTGACCTTAAAGGGAGCAGTGTTCTTGACACACTGTTCAGGACATGAAAATGCCACGAGCACCGCCCGGGCTGTGCTTTCAAGGCCATTATCAGGGAGGGGATTGTCATTAGGGTTTCTGCTGCTCCGATGGGGAAGCAGAGACTCAGCCTTAGTAACTCGTTCAGATGCATGGAGGAAATCTCAAGCAGAACTGGGAATCTCCTGATGTTCTTCTGATGCCTACAGCAGCGTTTGGCCCATGGCTTGTTCCTCCAGGTCTTACACCACCCTGAGTATCTCTGTGCTGCTTGCTTCTGTCCCAGTGCTCCAGCAGTTTCCTTCTTACACCTTTGGACCAACCTGTCAGCTGTCAGGGCACATTTCTCCCCATCATGGCATTGCTGTGACCCTAAGCAGTTCTCCTTGTGATCCTTATTTCTGCTTTTCCAGTAAATGGGACTTTCAGAAGCTTGTAGCGTCACCTCAGATTTCTGAGAGTCTGCCACTAGCCGCACACAAACACATCTAACCGAGACAAAGTTATGCCGATTTGAGTTAGTAACATGGGGTTATTTTATCAATAGTGCATTGCAGAACCAGATATCCCTAAAGCCCCAAAGTCAACAACAGATTTAATGCTAATGGAAGGCCATTGGCAGCAGTCGCTGAAGCAGTTTTCCAGTTGAGATGGAGGCATCCTCTTGCAAAATCCCCTCCTTGAATGGGAAAATTCGCTGCAAACATGCATCTCCCTTTAGAAGGCGATGACATTCATGGGGTGTTGGGTTTCAGGAGAAATGAGAGTGAGCGGGATTAGAGCAGGGCTTCAGCCCTAACACTCGCCTGCTTTGACCAAGTCTCTGCGCTCCTCCACGCTGGGCTGCGTGACCATGGCGTGGGCATGGCACTGCCACAAGCCCCTGGGGAAAAATAAATGAGTTTGCTCTAACAAACTGCTTTGCAGACAGTAATCCTGTCATTGAAGCATCATTTTCTTTACATTAATTCCTGGTGTTCACGGGTGTTGTGAGAGCCGTTGGCTTAGGGGAAAAAGATTTTTACAGCTTTGATGTTCATGCCAAGGAAAGGTACACAGAAGGGAACCCCTGGGGGGCGGTGACTGATGAAAGTTTTCATGGTTTTGCTGGGCACAGAAAGCAGCAGGGACAGAGCGTTTGTACCAGAGCAGTGGTGAGGAGGGGGAAATTAGCTGGGGCTTTGTGAAGTCCACCAGACGATGCTTGGCCTTTCTAGTCCCGGGACCAAACCAGCATCCCGAAGGCAGAGCTGAATTTTAGAAACTTATCATTTTTTCAACACTGAAAATATCAATGGAGAAGGCAAGGCTCATATTCTGCATTCTCTTCGGGTTATGGTAAGAAGAAAAAGAGCAAAAACTTGGGTTCTTTAGCTGGAGGGATGGGAGCCAAATGAATACATGGGCAAATACACGCAGATGTGCTCAGCCTCACCTAGAGCCTCCCAGGAGCAGCCCAGCCGCACGTTTCTCCCTGGGCTTGCTGCTGTTTCATAGTTTCCTTCAGCCCAGACACGATAGTTGTTAAAACTAATAACAAACAAGCAGCAAAGTCGGGAATGAAACCAGATGTCGGGAGTAAAATGGACTTGTTGAAGGGGTTTGGTTTTCTTTTTTTTTTTCTTTTTTCTTTTCTTTTTCTTTTTTTTTTTTTTTTTGAGACTGGTTTGAATAAACAGAAAAATCTCAGCAGCACTGAGCGAAGTTTGTTTTAAATTGCCTGTGCAAACCTTCTGTTTTCACAGGGAAGTTGGAAATGAAAACTGAAGATGAGGTGGATTTTATGAAAGATCCCAGAGACAGCGCAGCTTGCGAGGAAGCGGTGAGTGTCGTTTGTGCTTTGTTACCTGCTATTTTTAATGTGCTTTTTAAAGAAGTGCCACCGCTGCAGGAGACGGCCACCTAAACTGCTGGTTTCCTTCTGCAGCCTTTGCAAGGATGAAAGTTGTCGCTGGTTGTGACGCTTTGTTTTAGCATTTTAAAAATAGCGTGGGCTTTTTTGGTTCTTGCGTTTCTAAAATGCTCTGGGTTAAGCCACGTTTGGGTTGTGAAATACAGATTGGCCCAAAAGGTTCCTGGTGAGGCAGCGTTGTACAAAGATGTGTATGAATAAGGTCATTATCCGAACTGAAGTGAGCAGTGAGGAGACGTACAGGGATCAAACAGGAGGGAAAACCCCAAATTCCTCACAGGGGGGAAGCCATAGGAAAGGGCTGAGCCAGAGACCTGAAATGAGTTGTGTTGGTTTGTTACCATTCCCCCGACCCCTCTGCTTTGCCATTTTTAAGCACCGTCTGCGATAAAAAATGTAAATATTGAGCTCAAAAGGAATGTACTTTTGGTTTAAAACACCCCTACTGTGTTCTGTGCTTTATCAGGAGCTGGGGTTTTTGGTCTCACCTTTCTTAGCTGGATTTGCTTTTGCTCCTGGGTTTTATATATAGTTTCTTGTTCCTGAAAAAAGAGTGTTTTGTAAATGCTAGCTTGCTCGGAGCCTGTGTTCGTGCACGTTGCCGCTGAGCAGCTGTGTTTGTGTGTTAGCTTGCCATTATGAAGCTGTTAAAAGAAAAAAAAAATACTGGGGAGATGAGTTAACATTACAGGGTGGAGCACCAAAAACTTTGCTCATCCCACAGTAAAGCTCTTTAGGCAGAAGAAGAGTCTTGCCAAAGCTTGTAATAAAATCAGGTTTATTTTGTTTTTAACAAGTTAAGGCTTAATTTCTGTAGCTGTTTGCTCAATGAGTTACCCGGGGACTGGAGCTAATAGCTTTTCAAGGTAAAATCTGTGCTGTTTGATAAGTAAGTCTTTTGTTACTGGAATGCGTGAGCATTAAGATGCTGATGTTACTTTACTGACCCTTTATTAGAGATCATTTTCACAACTAATGCTTAGGTGCCGTACAGTAAGATATATTTAGAAGGTACGAATTAGGACACTCCCTGTCCTCTTATTATATCAGTTTATTTTCAGCTGCTTGCCTCTCAAACAAGGAAAAAAAAAAGTAAGAAAAAAAGTAAAGAAACATTGAATTTGGCTTCCATTTTGCATGTTTTACAGGCATTTGGAGACTTTGTGTGTGCTTTCTTCTCTTCTTCCTCTCCACCTCCCCACCCCATCAAACACCTCTTTAGAAATCTGGCTTTTCTGTTGCAGGAATGGGAGTGTCAGGGGAATGGAAAGTTTGCTGCAGGACTGACACGGTTTCCTGTTGCTACGTTCAACAGAAACAAAATAACAACTGCACTATATTAAGGCCATTAAAAAAAAATATGGTGCAAGGCTTATAAATAGAGCTTAATTCACACATCTAGGTTGAGTAGGGAGCTGGCCAGTGAAAAAGCAATCATGAAAAGTGCATCTCCTGCCCCGTCCTGTCTCTGCTTTATTTAGTGCTGACTTTTTTGTAGCCAGAAGTCTTTCAGGTGCTCATTGCCTTCTCATTACTGAGCCATTTTGTGGTTAGTAAAAGCGGTTTTCTGAACTTGTTGCAAATAGAAGTGTTGTTACTTGCAGCTGGTCAGGAGCTGCAGGTATTCAGCAGCCTTACCCTGCTCTCAGGAACCGGGGAAAAGCTGCCTGGGAACTGCATTAACCCTTGGTTTGTGGCTGAGAGGTTTGCACAACGTTGTTTATTAATACGCAATGCGGAAAGCTGTTTGTACACACAGGCTATTTAAAAAATAAAAATAAAAAATTGGAACCTAACAAGTTCCAGTACTGCTTGTGTAGTGGAATCGGGCAAAATAACAAGAAGATCAAACACACTGGAAAGAGAAGGGGGAAAAATCCTTCTTGTGAGTTGGTTTCCAAAGACTTGGGGGTTATCAGGACCCTTGATGCCAAAAGCGTGCCCCAGTGTTACATGTAGAGGATACACGTGCTGGGCCTGAGTGAGGTTCTTGTGCATGTCACGGAAAAGCTGCAGCTGAAAAGTGTTTAGGAAAATAATGGTTTGTAGGGTTGTAAACACTGAAAAGAAAATAATGGAAAAATGGTTTTTCCAATTAAAATGGGTTTTTAAAGTGTCTGTTTGTTAAATCACCAGAATGCTTTCTCAGAGGTTGGGTTTATTCAGCTACAGAAATTCTGTACCAACAGTTCCCCCAGTCCCTTTCGTGCTGAGTGAGTGCTCATCCTGCCGGAGACTCCACCAGTCCTTATTGAGCTCTTTTGGGGAGGGATCTAGAGCAGAGCTGGGGTGACAACTTGATGTGATCTATGAAAATTAGACTTTAGCATTTTTTAAATTGAATAACTTAAGATCCTTGATGTTAATGAGAAATCTGCTTTGACTTTTACATACTGTAATAATTCAAAGTAATTCAGGAATGGAGCTGGGTCTCTTCAACAATATGGAAGTTAAACAGCAATGTGAAATGAGCTGTACCCTGATATACTTTTCTTCTTGTGCTGATGATGGCAGAAAGCAGTTATGATTCATTACTTGCTAAATCTTTGACTTCATGTAGCAGACTAGATAAAGTTGCACTTCTGGGTTCATCTGATGGCTTCTGTTGTCTAAGCCTGTGGCTGGAAGAAAACAGAAACAGTTCACTGGGAAATGGCCTTCTCTTTGTATTAATTGCATTTAGTTAGATCTTATTGAGTTTAATGTTTCCTAGCTCTGACACATGAATTAGTTTTTAAATGAACATCTGTATTTCCAGAAGTTGCAGCCTACCAGAAAAAAAAACCATGTCATTTCAAAATAGTTTCACATAGACTGAAGCTTGAACAAAATTTGCAGTTTCATCTCCCCACTCATCTAAGTACTACAGCAATATATCAGCGAGGTCAGTTTCTGGAGGAAAGCTTGCAGTATTTTCAGTAATGGTTTGGAAGATGGAAGTGTGTTTATAAGACTTTCAGATGACATCAGGATGGGAGGGGTTGCAGGCACTTGGGAGAGCAGGGTTAGAGTTCAAAGTGACCTTAAGAAACCAGAGTGCGTCCAGATAAGAGAAGAAGGGGGATGCAAACCGTCTCGCTTGCAGAGAAGAAATCAAAATGCGCATTTACCAAGTCAGGATTGCCAGAGAGTGATGCATAGAAAACAACCGAGGATTTTTAGCGGACCACAAATTAAGCATGAATCATCAGTGAGAGGTGATTGCAAAAGAGTCGGATCTTGTTTTGGGTTACTCTGAAGGAGTGTCACCCATAAGACAGGGAGGTGACTTACTCATGCGTGGTGCTGCGGAGACCTTGTCGGTGTCATCAAATCCAGTTGTGGGTGTCCTGCTCCGAGGCGGATGCAGGCGTGCTGGAAGGTGTCCAGAAGGAAGCAACAAGAAAAGATTAAGGAACGTGAGAAGAGGTTGAAAGAACTAATTTTGTTCAGTGTAACAAAAAGAAAACTGTTGTGCAATCCAGCAGGCTTCCAGCGTGTAATAGTGGTTATTAAAGTCCTAGATTCCCGTGGCAGCTTAATTTACTGATTTGCTAATTTGCCAGGATGATTGAGGCTGGATATTGAAAAAACTTCCTGTTATCATCATGAAACTGTTGCAAGACCACCTAGGGAGGGTATGAAACCTCCTTCCCTGGGAGTTGTTGTGGATAAGACAGCTGGGGCAGAGCCCAGTTCTGTTGCTGGCCATTGCTTTTGATTTGTAGGTCCCTAGGTTTTGTGGGTGGTTTTATATTTTTTTTCCCCTTTCTTTTCCCTGCAAGGTTCCTGTATGCTTCGTGTGCATGCACTGCATGTGTGTGAGCTTGCTCTGCTTCGTTGCCTTCCCTGGCCCTTGCAGAGGGACCTGCAGGGGGGATGGAGACCTGGGGGCAGCAGCTCCTGCCCAGCCCCACGTGCTCCTTCCAAGCTCCTGTGCCGTGGATTTCAGTTGTGCAGCTAAAACGTCTGAGGACCTTCTCTAAAGGCTCCAGCCCAGGGTTTCAGGAGCTGAGCGAGGTTTTCCCTGTGCCTACCTGGTGGAGGTAGAAAGAGGCAATGGGATGGACTGGGGTGGCAGAGGGCTTACGGGTGGCAGAGACCCGCACAGGAGGGAGGTGTTGGGATGGGCAGTGAGTGTGAAGGATCCCAAGGTCTGGCTCTCCCCCAGCTCTGTCTCTTGTCCCTGGTGCCAGCAGATAAGTGGAGACAGTCGCAGACAAGGTGTCCGGTGTCACCCCCTCTAGTGGCTGCTGCTCAGAGAGGAGAGCCTGGTGCTGGAGTGAAGATAGGAGATGCTTCGTGGCTCAGAAACGCTGCTTCCTTCCAGGGTCAGAGTCCTGCAGGCTCTGCTTTAGATTTAGATTTACTTTCTGAGGAAGTAATTTCTTTAACAACCTGCTCACAGTGAGGAAACACCAAAATTTTGGTGCCGGTGTGCACCGAAGCCAGCTTGCTCCACGTGTGTGCATAGAGCTCTCCATGCCGTGTGATTGTCCACGATCGCGTGATCGCATTTTCCAAAGGCTCTGCAGAACAGCTCGGGAAGCCTCCCAACGGCATGGGGAATTTCAGACCGAGTGGCTGAAGTGTCAGAAACAAATCAAACCAGGGTGCCGTGGTGGAAAGTGCAGCCCTAACAATAGGCTGTGTCCCAGCCCTGCCTCTTTAAAATCACTTGTGTAACTCTCTCTTTGTAAATATTGTACTGTAACTAGAGTAAACATGGAAAAACCCAGCCAAAAAGGAGCCTGCCCGAAGCCTGGCATCGGTGCTGAAGGGTGACACACGACTGCACCGGTCAGGGCTTTGGGCTGCCCATCCGTAGGGCCCTTTCTCACACCCACTGGCATCCTGTGCGTGCCCCTGGGCGCTCCCAGCAGAGGCTGGAGAGGGCTGGGAGGAAATAGTGTCAGATGCTCGGCCCCTGCTGCATTCATGGCTCTGCAGAAGAGCTCGCCCGTTGCTGCGGGCTGCTTCTGGTGTCTGCTCCGCGCGTCGCTGTGTAAGCTGTTGAGTCCGTGGCACATGCTGTGGAGAGCTAGAAAAAAAACAAGGGGGAAAAAAAGGCAATTCAAACCAGCCTGGGATTATTGTTGGCCTTTGCTATTACTCATGCTTTGAAATCTGCAGCAGGAAGGCATTTATACAACCATTGTGGCAGCTTTTTTGTCCTACACTGAGTTTCTCTGGGATCTGCAACTGCGACTCCTTTTTCTCCTGAACGCTGCTAATCCGCAGCTCGAGACAGTCGCTTCCGAGTTCAGGCGCAGGATTCACGGATGTTAGTGAGAAAAGCAGGGAGGCAGACGACGAGCCAAATCCCCTGCTCGGTGCAGAGATGCTGCTCTCAGCTTTGGCTTGCAGCGGGGCAGATGAACGTGCTGCGGCCGCGGGGCTCCTGGGGATGGAAGTGATCTGGAGATGGTGAGGTTCTTCTCTTCCCTGACACCTTCCCCTTCGGTCACTGCAGGGTCTCCATTATTTTGCAAGTCTGAAAAAAAAACAAAAACAAAACATAGCTAAAGATCCCCATCATAGAAAATCCTGGTTTTGGAGTATGAATTTTTTATGCAGTCATGAAGGTACGGATACATAAAATAATGGATGTATAAGACACTTGCCATGGCAAAGTAACGCTGGCACTGAATATTGTGCCATGAGGAGGAAAATACTGCGCTGGTTTTGAACAGCTCAGTCTCCTGATTCGTATGGATTCTTTTATTTGTGTTTGAAATCTCTTAAAGTTTTGTGGTGTAACTGTTGTATGGTAGACATGGCAACCACACACCAAATTCCTAGTCTAAATATAGAGGGAATTAAGAAGATAACATAGGGAACCAAATGTGGACTTTTCAATGGAGACTGCGTTTTTAGGACAAATGGGTACCTTGGTGTATGGCGTCACTGGGCTTTTACCCTTCTGAACGAACCTACCCTGCTCCAATGCTGGTATTTTGGAGATTGGAGTTGGCATCCTACAATGCAGAGAAGCCAGCATGTACATTTTTCTGTCGACTTACCCTTTTTGCAGTTCACTGGTCCTTACAGTGCCTGAGAGGAAAACCTTCCTTGCCAAGAATCGTTAATACAAGAAATTGGTTTTTAATTCTATTATCGTGCATTTCTTCTGGGGTCTGGCGAGGAGTTGTGGTCTGGTGCTTCAGTTCTTTTGCCATCCTCCCCTAGTAGCTGTCCCTCGTGGTAAGTTTGCTAGGTGTAGCTCTTCAAGATTTGGGAAAGCTTTCTGTGGTAGTTTGTGCCAAATCCAGCAAGCCCCCTGTGAGGTGAATGACAGCAAGAAGCGAGAAGTGACACGTGGAGGGAGAAAGCCCCTGGGGACCTCTGGGGCTGAGCTGCTGGAGGCCACCGTGGTTCTTCTTCCACTGCCTCAACCCAAGTGTTTGGGTGGCCTTGGACTAACCATATGCATGGGACAGGGATTCCTTCCAACATTTTGCTCTGATGGAGGAGCCATATGTGCAATGTGGGCTTAGAAGATGCGGCTAAGCAAGTTGAGGCTGTAGGAACGACAGTGCAGGCTTTGAGGGCTGAAGATAGTTAATTTCTTGAGTAACATGCTGTAGGAAAGAGTGAGCGCTCCATTGTTTGAAGTTTTCCATCAAGAACTGGATGTCCTACCGAGCGATAAGCTCTAAATGATCTGCCAGCCCAGGCTGGCTGGCCTGCTATACTGGAGGCTCGTATGGGCTCACGTGCTTTCTGCTGTCGTTAGGATCCCTCTTAGAAGACGAAACCTAGCAGTGCAGCGAAAGGAACAGCAGTCTGAGAGATGAGCAGGGCTCTTGGCCACAGATGGAAGTTTACAGTCCCCAGCACTCCCCAGGCACAGCATTTTTGATTTAATCTTCCAGCAAAGGTTGAAAACAATGGTGCGAAGAAGAAGAAAAGGGTAAAGGACAAAGGAGAGAGAATTGTATTCGAAGCTAGAGTGCTGATTAGAAAGAATACTCCTTCTGTTAAGTATTTCCATTCATGCAGTGTGAATCGTTATGAAAACGTATTTGGCTTTTCACCCAGCACGGTTAAAACTCTTTCCATGGAAACATGGAATCAAAACACAATTAGCTTTGCAGTAGTTGCACAGATTCCCCTGTCTGTTATCGTTTGCAGTCTTTTTTCCCCCACCCTTTTTTGGTGGGTCATCTTCTCTCATATTCTTTTCAAGCAGAGGTGGAAATCTCAGATTCTTTTCCTCCAGCGTCTCTGCTGTTACTGCTTTGTATCATGTGTACGTCTTGGTGAGGCCCTGAGTGGCTCGGCTGTGTCGCAGGCTGCTGTTCAAACACCAGATGAAATACAAGCCCCAGTGATACCAAATGTTTGTCTTTCCATGCAGCGTCCTTGCTTGTGTCAAGCAGATTCACTGCTCTCTGGCTTTGTCGGCGACGTCTTTCCTGCTGCTTTCCGCCTCGTCTACAGGCGTGGTCTACGTGTGCTCCGTGGTGCAGAGTGATTTAGCAGCGATGGAGAGGGCTTTAAGCTTGGGGCTGTGAAACAGGAATAGATGGCAAGTGGATGATTAGGATATCTTGGGTCTATACAGAAGTGCTGGTATCCAAGCATAGGATACTTAAAATGAAAGCACTTCCCTGGTATGGAAGGAACTGGGCTTGGCTGAGCAGAGTCAGAGTGTGAAACCCCAAAGACGGAGCGGTGCGTTTGTGTCATGTCTGGCCATAGCCAGCCACAGCTGGCCTTACTGTCAGGGCAGCAAACTCACCAAAGCTTTCAAGGAAAGGAAACTTGAATTTTGGCAGAATACTTGTAGTTGTCATCAGTCACACGGAAGAAGAGGTGATGCCTTCAAGTGCAGATGCTGTGAAAAGTATTTGCAGTAGCAACTTCTTTGTCAAGACCCCGGAGCAGGTGGGTGTCAGGGATGAGACGAGAGGTCCTCGCTGCCGCGCACCTCCTTCCATCACCAGTTTGTTGTTTTTACTACTGTGGGCTGTATTTTGGACTTCTGCTTTGGAATAACCCCAACGTGGAGGCTGGAACAAGAATGTGACAGGGTTTTGCAATAGTTTAATAAAATATACTTTATCAGCTGTATTGGAATTAGCAGAGAGGAACAAATTCTAAACCAGCCTTTCTTCTGCATTTGCTCTCTTGCAGCTAACAAGGTTCTTGTCCTTCCACCTTCTCGTTCTGCTTCATTTATGGATTAAATTTATACCTATACAAGCATGTATTTGATGTCACCATCCTTTTGATTTTCTCTTAAGCACTAGTGAACTTAACTACCCTCTCCCTTCTCGCATACTGCGTTTATCGTCTTAGTGCCAGCAATGTACTCAGCGAAAATGAAGGCAGTAACTGTGCCCAAGAAGCTAGTCCAACAGATAGAGCCAATATTTCTGGGTTATCTTGTTTGCTTTCTCTTCTGTTTGTGCTGCTAAAGTCAGAGTAATTGTTGCTAGCTTGTACTTAACCTGAGTTAATACCGCTCTCGTTTCAGATCTGGAAGAGGGCTGATGCTTGGCTTATGATTGTGACAGCCTAGTTAGATAATGCTGCTTCCTTGATTTATACCCTGACACTCTGACAGCCACAGTAATGGTAGTTTCACCTAATTTATGCACTTAGTTATGTGGGGACACATTCCCATATGCAGGAAGCACAGCACCTTTGTCAAGTACCATGTGCCTCCCTGTCCTGAAGCATTTCCACCTTCTGTGCTGCCATGGGAGCACTAACGCCCGTCTGCAAGTACCTTGGCACTAGGGCTGCCCAGCTCATTGACCAGCTGAACGCCTTCCCCCTTCCTTAACATCATCGCCTTCCAGCTGGTGAGATAAGAGGCAGGAACGTGAAGCCTCGCCCTTGCTAACTCATTAGTCTGAGCCCTGGTACTGAGTCTGCTTAGCATCAAGCGACTTGTTTTTCTTCTGTCTGAGACTGTACTTACCTCCATAAATCACAGGCAGATCATAATCCTAACTTACTTGACACTGAACTTTTGCTTAGTTTCTTAACACAGCTGGACGCACTGAATGCCCAAAAGTGGTTGGGAGGCCTTTTGTTTCCAAAATACACATTTTCAAAGGCTGGAGGTGCAGTTCTCATGTTGGTTTCGATCCGAGGTCTTGTTCTTGGGAATTTAGAAATCTCTTCTGCTTCTCCAAAATGTTACCTGGCACATTGCAGTGATTCTTACCAAAGACATGGACACGGGTGGGGTGATAAAGTCTTCTGAAATAACTGATGTGCTTCTTGGTATACTGTTTCACCATGTATATACATACATGTATGTCTAAGATACAATAGTTATTTAACCCTCTGGCTATAACATGGAGGAGGAGGTGGATGTGTCTTAACTTCAAATGCCTGTATGTAAGGGGTGAGCAAAGAGCAGTAATGCATCTTCTTGAGCCTTTTAAGAGAGCAGGAGTTTACACCATTTCCAAATATTCCCACCTGTAGATGCCAGAAGGGAGCTGTATACTATAAAGACTGGGGTTCTGTGGTATTAAAAAGGGAAGGGGAAAGAGGATGCTGAAAAAAAAAAAAACCAACAACAAAAAAAAACAACCAATTCAGTCCTTGGTTTTGATAGATTGGGGTGCTTTTGCTTATGGTTGACCAAGGTGTCTGCAAAAATGCCCTGGGTGCCCTCACTCATGGTGGCTTTGGACAGGCTCTCCTGGCTTGTTCCTGCCCACGGCAGGGCTGGCAGTAGGGCTGTAGTTGGCATGGTGGGAGCAGTGCCTTCATTTTGGGTTGCAGTCCTTTTCTTCCTTTCTGCATAGTCTGAGAGGGGCTTTAGGGTGTTTTGCAAATGATGGTTTTAACTGCATTGTGGGGATTCATGGAGAGAAGCCTCTAAAGGCTGTTTGTTAATAGCCAGATATCTGGGGACAGTGTTAGATTTGCTTGTCGAGGCTTGTTTATTACTTGTTTTCTGTCTTTGGGAAGCTGAGGTTTACTTCTTATGTCAGAAATGATGCAAAAGGCACCCAGAACAGTGTACATGAATCCTCTGTCTTTGTTATAAATCTGAGTATATAGACTAAATAAATAACTTCTTTCTGGGCTCGAAATCCTTACAGTACACCAGACAACAAAAATTTGCGTTTTGGAGTAGCTCCTAGAATTCTTTAATGCTGAAATATCTCCTCCGCTTGAGAACCTGGGGCTCTCCCTCCCGTAGATAAGCGATGGCTGTTTGAACTGGCTTTGCTTCTGGCTGTCCTTTTGGGCAGGGGTTGGCATAACTCAGCCTATACCAACCGGGACGCTAGGAGTGCGTGGCAGCAAAATACGAAGTTTTGAAGGTAAGGCTAAACAAGTACTCTCTTTGTTAAAAGAACGAGGGGGGGAAAGTCTGTGCTCTCAGGATTGCCTTTGTCGACTCTCAGCCGTTTGAATCTACACTGAGAAATGATTTTCAGAGTGATTTAGAAGCTTCTTAAGCTGTTTTCTTCTCTTTCCAGAAAACAGAATTTTATATAGAAACATACCGTTTTATATAGAAACATACTGCGAAAGTAGCAGTTGAATTAAATGTTTAAAAATAGGATATTTCGGTTTGTTTTAGATTTTTTTTAGGTAAGCATTAATCTCCCAAGGAAAGTACATTCTGTTTTTATGCATGTCTTCATATGAGCAATGTGTGTTCCCTGACTGGTGCGTAGTGCTGCCTGGCGCACTGAATACCTTTTGGCAGGTTGGCTCTTAAAATATATTGTGTGTTATCTTCTACGGAGGATGCCGGTAAATGTCTGGATCCCATACTGATTTAGCAGAAGGGGAGGCAGAACAAATCTGGGTTTTATTGCGGAGCACTGCTGGAAGTGGAAGGGGAGCCAAGGAGATGGGCAGCAGTGCATGCTGAGGGTGTGGGTTTAGCTCCCCGGTGCAGGGCAGAAAGCAGCTATAGCACAGGTGATTTGGGGCCAATATTTATGTAAATAAGTGCAATTATGCAGATGTGCATTTGGGAGTTACATTTCCTTTATTTCATGTTTGAGGCTGGTGACCAGGAACAGACCCGTGTATCTTTCTAACTCTGGACGCATTCTGACTTTTCTTGCCCCAAACTCCCAGGGGAGGGGAGAGAACGGGGCACTGACTGCAGCCACTCAACAGAGACAAAAGTCAGGAAAGGAGCCCAGCTAATATTTTCTTCCAGTCTTACCGACTGACCTAGCCAAAAAAAGCATAAAATAACAACAGCTGTTGAAAAAGTCTAAACCGTTTGCCTGTACCAACAGATGTTTCTATAAGCCATTGATTTTTAGGTTGTCCTGGCTTAAATACAGTACGGGATGAAAAGGGTCAAAAGGGTAAAATACATCTAGGAGAGATTTCTCTACTTATGAGAACTTTATAAGCTGTCAGTGAAGCTGTAAACAAAGTTACACTAAAATATATAATATCTTTTAGTTTAAGTTGTGTCTTTTTTGCTTGTTACTGGCTGCTTCGGTTAACAAAGAAAATATTTTTCTTTCAATAGCTTTCAGATCTTTTGCTGGGTATTTTTTCTTATGCGTCTGCATTAAATAAGCCCATTTAACAAAACCTGATCCTCTTATAAACATGGAATAATGACAGTATCCCACATATGGCTTTCATTAATTTTTGCATGTTTTGAAGTTGCCTTTTTTTCTCCTGAAGGCTAACTTCAGAAACAGCGGAGATTAATGCTACATAATAGCCAAAATGACTAGCTGAGCAGTCAGCAGTTCTAACTTTGGATAGAAGGGGTTTCTAGTTAAAATTCTTTAACCATTTCGTACTAGAGAGGACATTTTTCTGTGCAGAGCAATGCTGCATAATCTGGCCTCCTCCCAGTTGCAGTTACTGGTTTGCATCGATTGAGCGGGCGTCAGCCCTGCTGGTTATCTGCAAGCTTTTTGCTTCTAAGTCTGTAAATGTTTTGGATTGTGGCCTTCTGAGAGCTGCGGAACACTTCACCCTTTTTTTTTTCCCAGGAAAACAGGCCCAACCCTTTCCGTGCTGTTGCTGGTGAGGATTTCAGGTGATCTGTTTTATTCCAGAGCAAGCTGCCCAGTTATCTGCGGCACCACAACCTTGGCATCTCTGGAGGCAACCCCGGTCTATAGGATACACAGGGCACCCAAATATAAGGAACGCTGTTGTTTGACATTTTAGTCCCTAGTTATTGCCCATTGCATTAGGTTTATTTATTTATCTCTTGACGAAAGCCATTAAATGTATGGAAGCACAGCTCTTCTGACAGGCAGGGAATAAGAGAGGGGAGCACAAAACCCCAATAACTAAAGTTTTCCTGTACCACCTGTATTGACCTGACATTCCCAGTGCTTGCTGGGCACTCCCTACCTTTATTTGAGAAGAGAGAAATAGCAGGGTTCAGATACATTATTCCCTTTAGGAATTATACCTGCAACAGCAAATGTTGCTGTAAAGGGGTCTTTGACAAGCCAGTAGAAGAAATGTAGCAGATGTTAGTTTATAACTGAATAAATATTGTATTATTTTTCTGGAACGATGTCAGTAGTTGAGAAAATTCCTCACTAATGACTATGTTTCAACGTATTTGGCTGCTAACTATACCTGTGTTTTAAGTCCTGAAATTCCTTTAGGAGCATTTTCTAAAGTTGGGTTAAAAGGGAGAACATACCGAGGATGTGCTGCTGCAGCTGTGCTTTTGACGGTGTCTGAACAGAGCAGGCTTTTCTTCATGGACCCGGTGACTCCTTACCCCTGCATATCCATCTTCAGACCAGAGAGATAAAAGTGGGGTAAAAAATTGTAAAACAGGTTTCTTCCGCAGGGTTAACATTCTTTCCTGGGCTTGTGCTGTAAAGACATGTTTGTTTAATATTCTTTACAGAGGACTACCAGGGAAACGGATAAAACAGTGAGCAAATTAATACTCATGTGGTCCTAAAACAGACCTCCCAGGCGGGAGTTGGAACCCAAATGCCTCCTCTCAACGTTTGCGTTGGATTTTATTTCAAGTTTCCAAACACATGGGGAGAGGGTATGAAAATATTGGTTGGATGGAAGCGTAGGTAGGAGAGGGAGCTGCAGTGTCTGTTATTGCTGGGGAGAGAGAGGGTCCCGGCCGCAGCCAGAGCATCTCAGTTACCAGTCAGGTCTGAGCTCCTCCTTCCCACAAAGCAAACAGGAAAGTTGGAAGGGCAAAACAAATCCCACAGTGTCTTCTAGCCCCTGCCTGCAGCAGCAGCCAAGCGAAAAACTGACCTGGAAATATGGTGGGTGCCTTCATACCGAGCTCTGCTTTCCCACCGCTGTCCCTACCAGGTTGTGAGTTACAAGATGAAAGAACAGATAACCTCTTCCTTTTTCATGGAGCACCCAGCCCAGGCAATACATGGATCGTGTGGGCTTCCCAGGGCCGAATCCTAAAGACTTCAATTAAAAGGGAAAAGAAACAAAAAAAAAAAAAAAAAAAAAAAAAAAGAAAGGAAAAAAAAAAGGGGGGGGAAGCTGAATCATTTTCTGGCATGATTATTCATTTGAATGACCCTTCGTTGCTTTTCAATTAGATTACCGTGCCTTAAACTGGAGCCATAAAAGAATGGTAAAAGTTGAATAATTTCCTCAGCTAAAGATGTGTCATTTTTACATTGTCTGTTAATTTTACTCACCGATACCGTACGTCATTTTTGTTGGGCTTTATCCGCCAATTCATCTGTGTAATCTGCTATCCTGTCTCCGTTTTTAGTTCTAAATGCACAGCTCTTTAGATAGAAGCACCCACCCGGCGTATCCTTGACCTGATCCCTTGTTAGGGCGAGGCTGGGGCAGTGCCTGCCTGCCCCTGTGCCATGCCTACAGCAGCGGGCATCGAGCCCTTCTCTGGGGAGCTGATGTGGTGTTTCCTGCACTCCCCAAATACCAGGCAGTCTGTTTTCCTGAGCAAAACTCATCCTAACCTTAAACCGCAAGGCTTCACTCTTTCTGGAATTTATTATTATGATAGAAAGGAGCACGTTTTTGTTGGTGTCAGTCCTTTCAAGTACCATGGGTTTATCCCAGCGATGTTGGAATATACTTTTTTATCGTGCAGGTTATGAAAATGAAAAATTCCTTTGAGTTTTGAATTTGTTAGCTTTATAGGTAATAAAATATCCCATTCTTCCCGCATTTGAGGCAAACTTACTTTAACTCCTCTGTAGGGTGAGTTACCAGACTTTGCTTGTTTGGGTATCATGGATTGAGCAGGCCTTCAAGTATTTGGTGGATGGCCTGTTCAAACCAATTTGAAGTGACTTGCATAATGTTTACAGTGGCTTGAAAACTCCTATAAGTATACAATTTACTATTTTAAACACGTTTGTTTACCCCATTACCTTTCCAGATTCCAGAAATCATAGTCCTGCCTTCAGAGCTTCAGAGGCTGGAATCCCCAGAGCCTTGCATCACGACCAGCACTGCTGAGAGCTGCAGGGGTCTTTGTATCTGGGGGTTCCCCATTGGGACCAAATCCTGTAATAACTCTATTTTCTGGTATTTGTTTTCTTTTAGCTGACTTTTTGTAGGTATTTCCAGGGACTAAACCCCTAAGCCACAAATTCTCATTTTGGAGTGAGTTTGGTGATAGTGGGCCATGCACTGGGCTGCTGGGGTGGCAGCAAAGATCATTTCTCATTGTGATAGTGTACAGTTCGCACGTTAGTTACCCAGAACTGAAAAACATGAAGCAAAATTGAAGCTGAACTAATGCAAGCAGTAGAGGAGATTGACATTACTGCTGACAACCGCTAGGGCTCATGCTCCAGTGGGACATTGCAGGGCTGCAGGGGCACGGCTTCGTTTTGGGAGGCTGGTTTGCAGCTGCAGGTCATAATTCATGTGCTTCCTGACAACCTTTTGGGGTTCCCCGCTTGTCCACTCGTGTTTTCCCTTCCTTGTTTTCAGGATGCTGAAATTCACAGGGAAATACAAAATGTCCAGGGTTTGACAGCGAGAGGTATTTCTCTCAACGCTCGTAACACCCTGTATAAAGATCTGTTGCATTGTCCAAGATCCCACAGCACTTCAGCCAGCCAGACATCTCCATTTGCAGTTATTTTTGGTAAAGACAGAACTATATGTTTGAAACTGATGTCAGATCAGCTGAGAGGTTGCTAATCTCATGCGTGGGATGTGCTTCTCCTGTAACCATTTGGGAGCAATAAGATGGGCAGTTTACTTCCTCTGAAAGGATGTTCAGGCATGCTCCGTGGCAGACAAAAGCCTCGGCATTTTTCTGAAGGTTGTTTGCACAATAGAAATTCCTGAGAAATGTGCACCAAGTCTCTGAGAAATATTAGAAAAGCGAAGGTCAGGAAATGGCTGAAGGTCTCTCAAGGTGTTTTTGTATTTTCTCAAACCACGCGCTCTGTGTATCCATATGTCTGACAGCTTTCCAAGTCCTCCTCATTCCTTCTTCGTGGCTCTTAAACTGTTTATTAGACAGCTCTGTCTTTGAGCTTGAACACAGGCTGCAGCTGTATGATGGTTTGTTTGGATACAGGATTCAGCTCGGTTGTGTTCTCCCAACGTATGGTGTGGTGAGATGTCCCTCTCCAGACCTTAGTGTGAAGATCTGAACGATTTAAGAGGAGAAAGCTGTAGGAGAGTCAGAACTGCCTAGGTTGGAGAATCAGACTTGTTTTGGTGCTGCAGATTTGCCCAAGCATTTTTGGGGGGGGGGCTATAGCAGCACAGGACTTGCCATGGAGAGGATCTATGTGATGGCTGATTGCAGGTAACCATCCTCATCTCTCTCCCTGCCTCTTCTTCCTCACAGACAAGTCCAAAATCACAGCTGTCCTTTAGAGGCTACCCAATGAAGCAGATTGCTTCAAGAACGAGATTGCTTGGTGGGGCAAAGGTGGGTCGTGCTGCACCCACAGGGATACAGCCCTGGACCAAAATTTCACTGCAGCGATGCAAATGGGCAGGCTGGGCAGGAGCGGGTTTTTCAACCCTCCTCTGTGTCTTGCAATCCCCTTGCAAGAATGAGAAATGCATTATTTAGCTTAATCTTTACCAAAGTCTGTGGCGTGGCTGCTCACTGGCACTCAGCAGCTGCCTTCAAAACCCGTGCTGGAGCATCCGCCTGGGTTTGTGCTCGGGCGGGTGCTGCCCCGCTGCCCGGCAGACACAATGGATGTGCGTTCCCATCCAGACTGGATGCTCTCCTCTTACAGTCTTTGCAGTATTAGAGTGCAGATTTCCTTTGCCTTATTTAGTTTTGGAAAAAAAGGGGTTTGTTTTGTCTATCCGTGCAAGTGCCAGAAACAGAATTTTTAAATCACTTTCCAAAAAGCTGATTTCTTTTAAGAAAAGAGCAATTTAGATTGTAATTATTCTCTTTTTCTGTCTGACAAATTTATTATCTCCTGCGTTTAGTGCCCAAAAGTGGGTTTTGACTTGCTTAAGAGAGGGAGAATTTTTTCCTTTCATGTGCTGCTCCATTAGTTCCTATCAGGGCCGCAGTTTAAAATGTTAATATGCCTCAGTATTTCTGCAGATTGCATCATTTTCAGTGTTTCATAACTATATGGCAAAAGTAATTCGAAACAGATAACAATAGTGCTGTCTGTTTCAGAATAACCATGATTTCCTTGTCATTAAGAGGTCTGTTAGCGGGGAGAGGAGGAGGAGTTTTATCTGGACGAGTTACAGATCATATGGTGCAATTGAGTGCCTTTTTTTTTTTTTTTTCTTTTTCTTTTCCTTCCCTTGAAATCCGCAGCACTGGACTTTGGTTTGGATATGAAACGATTGGATAGTTTCAAACTCCTGTCTGCACAAAGCGGCTCAGCACTTCCAGATGGTTTCAATAAGGAGCCCAGAACTGTCGCATCAGCAGCCGATGGCCCGGCTGCTGCTCGCGCCTCCTCTCTCTCCATTTTGAGTAACTCGCAGAAAAGGAGAGCGGAAAGAATTATTTACTTGTTGGAGTGTTTTTTTTTTTTTAATCTTTATCTCCTGATTGTCTGGTGCATTGTGTTTCTGAGCCTACATTGTGTGTAAACATGCATATGGCATTCAGGAGATAGCTTAAATAGTTGGCCAAAAGGGACTGGAAACCTTTGTTCTTCTTCGTCCAGGCTCAGCCTGTGTTCTGCGTCCCCTCTGCGTGCCCGGCTGTCCATACAGCAGCGTACAAGGCAGGGTTTCTAGCCTGGAACAATGCAGCAAAAGCCCCACCTAACGTGGGAAGGGAGGGATGGTCTCCCAAGTGGGAGTGTGTCTGGCACATTATCTGCTATTTGTTTATATTATGGTGGTGGTGTTTTTTTCTTTTTCTGTTTTTTTTTTTTTTCTTTTTTTCCTTTTCTTTCCCCCAGCAGTCAAGTCTGGAAATTAAGATGAGATGGACTTCGGGTGTCTGTAGTCGTCACTGGCCTCCTGATCTTGGCTGTGAGTCAGGAACATAACCACAGAAAAAAACTCTTGGAACAAATTAGGGATTTGGAAGCTTAAATTTGAAAAGAGAGGAGAGGGAAGGGGATTTATTTTACTGGTGTGTTTGGGTTTTTGTTGATCGTTTCTCTCTGTGGCTGAAGGTGTAGAGGAGTCCGAACAGATCAGTTGGCACTAGCCTCTTAATCTTCACCAGATCAAAACACAGTAATTAGGGAGGGAGGCAGGTCTCCCTGAGTCACAGGCCGGGCATGGGTGCGCACCGCGTCCTAGGAGTCGCCCTGCCCGGCAGCTCCCCCAGCCAGCGCTCGCCACCCGCCTGCACCGTGCACCTCGAGTTGCTGCTCCCTTCTGCCCCGTGACAGCCTGCGCTGGGTTTCCTGTGGCTTTGGGCCACACAAAAGTGCTCCTGCAGAGCTCAGGAAAACTGTCCTCCTCTTTTTAACTTCCTGCTGTGAAGCAGCTCTCCTAGTGCGTCTCCCCCAACTCCTTTGGTTTGAGATATTTCTCATTTCTCCTTACCTTTAGGAAGGGTAAGTGTGCGTGCAGCCGCAGCAGACTGAGTGGTGATGCTGCTACAGGCCTGGCTTCTCTCAGCATCCCCGTGGAAGATGCCCTGTGGCAGTCAGCAGTGATGCTCAATGGCAATCTCCTCTTCAAGGCAGGCATCTCTTGAACCCCATGAGCTGGACATTTCCTTCTGGTTGTCCGAGGGGCCTCAAGGTTCAAAGGTGAAGTGCATTATCTGACAGAGCTGTGCGGTTGTCATTCAGATGAATCTTGGCCAGTGGATGAGGAGAGGCCGTATATCCAAGCAGCCATCGTTGGAGTGATCTGGAAACAAATTTAAACAGCTGTGCTGGTTTAAAAAATAAAAATAAAAAAGTTGCTACATAATGAAACATTAGAGCATCATTAAGGCACAGCGACTGCTGCAGATTCCTCTACCTGACCTAAATTCACACGCTTTGTTTATAGGTTCCTGTCTTGTAAATTTAGATTTGAGGAAATCCCTGCCTTTTATGGTAGTGTTCGAGGGGCTGGAATGCTGTCACAGCCACTTCTGATTCCTCATCTTGACGGGCACATGATTGCTGGGATTCATTACTTGTGGAGAAAACTGGTGGCTCCAGAAAGTCCCCAAAGCACTACCACATTTCGTGTGTCCTAATACTGAAAGCAGAAGCTCTGCTCCTTCCTGAGGAGAACAGAGTCAGCGGCGGAGCGCTCGAGCTGGGGGTTGTTGCTGTAGGAGAGGCTTAGAGAGGAGATCCTCCCAGTTCAGTGTGGTAGAGATGAAGCTTTGGGTTGTGAGGGAGAGCCTGGAGCCTCACGAAATTGGGGCGGGATGCCTCGCGTTGACTAGGTAAGAGCCCTTCATGGGGAGGAGGTGACCTGCTGGGAGCCCCCAGCCTTCTCCAGCCCCTGAGGACCTCCTCACGGCGCGGTGCCCAGCGGGTGGTGGCTGGTCACCTCCCCACCGCCGAGCTGGCTGAGGAAACATACGCCCTTCTCAGTTTGCTTCCTGAGCCTGGTAGATCTGGAGGGTGATGATGTTTTTATATAATCTGATCGTATAGATTGGCGGTGTCAGAACCAGCGTAGCTCAAAATGGTGCTGACCGTTTATGTGAACTCTTGTTCCTCCTCAGCCCTCTACCAGAGGTGCGTCCGTGTGCCAGCTCCTGAGTTACGCACGGGCTGGCTTCTGGTGACATGGTCGGGTGACTGGGTGGCGACCAAAAGAGAGGAGCTCCAGTGCGATGGGATTTCTAGGTTTAGGCCTCCTTGGGAAAAATCTCCTTGCATTGCCATGCCAAAACCTCATTTTTATCTGTCGGGAGGATGCGGGGCTGTGGCACCTCTGCCAGAGTTTGAGGCGGTGGTTGCAGAGTGCCTTGCGCGGCCTGGGGCCGTTCCCTGAGGGGCTGGATGAAAACACTCAGCAGCCCCTAACGAAGCTTCATGAGCGCAGAAGGTGCTCCCCAGGCGTTGATTAGGGTGGCTTTTTGAGATCTGCAATTAAATGGTGGCTTGATAACGCCGTTTCCGATGTCTTTGTCACCTGCTTTGTGGCACAGGTTTAACAATTCCTGCATTTCCAGCTTTCTGCCCCAGACAAGCAGCGTTTGCTCAGTGCAAACTCCTGCAGTCAAATCCAACCACAGAGCACCCCCCTCTTCCCCTTTTCTTTTCTCTTTTTCTCTTTCCTCTTTTTTTTATTTTTATTTTTTTTAACTGCCCCCATTCTCTTCTGAATCGGTGAATGAGAGAATGTCTAAAGCCAGGGAAGTATGGAAAGATTTTCTCCCTGGAGAGGTCAGGGTGGGGTGGAAAGCGGAGGGGGCTGCGAGGGGGCAGTTTGAAAACAGGAAACCATGTGGCAGCGTGCACGCAGGGCCCAGATGATGTGAATGAGCTATTGAGAGATGGGGAGAGACTCGCTGCCTTGCTCGGCATTAGAAAGACTGAGAAAACTGTGGGGTTTTTTGTTTTAAAGAAAAAAAAAAGAGTTTGGCCTTTCAGATTAGAATAAATGAGAGAAAATTGTATTTTTTCTGAGAGTGAGGTACTGAAATCTAGTGCTTGTCTTAGTGCTGCAAACATTTAGAAGCAAAAATGTAAATGTCTGATTTCCTTTTTTTTTTTCTTGGTGTGTGTGTGTGTGTGTGTGCACTGATTGAATCATAAGTTTCCATTCCTGTTTTGGGGAAGCGCCGAGCCTGAAGTTGTCTGTCTGTCATTCACCTGGCCCCAGGGGAGAGGGAAGAGCAGTCATTCTCCCTCTCCTCGCCTCCCCGAAAACACGTACCTTTGCTTCTCAGTCTCTTTGGACCAAGCAAACACACCGAGAGCCTGAAGCTCGTGGTGGAAGAAGCTGCTGAAGGAAAACTGCTGCTTTTTCTTCCCCACCTCCCTCCTTTTTTTTTTTTTTTCCTCTCTGTCTGAAGAGATGAATCATGTTCCCAAAACTGCAAAGAAATTTTCAAAGCTGGGAGAACACTGGTGCAGTACTAAAAAGGCAAGTAGTGACGTCCAGCTCAAACCAGGAGGGGAGTGGCTTTATTTCATTATTTTCTTTCCTTTTGCCCTGTGCTGTCATTAGAAATTTAAACTTAACGCAAAACCGAGCCCTCCTCTCTGGTGAACGGTAGACTGGCTCAAAAAGAGGAAAGTACCTTTTTTATTCTTTCTTTCACGTCCTTGTGCGCTGAAAGAGAGATCACGTTGGTGACAGTATTTACTTTGGATACGGTGATCGCCTTTTTTTTTTCTTCCTTTTTTTTTTTTTTTCTTCTGAATCAGACACGTCGTGGCTGAGCCTACCTTCTGCTTTCCCCTCTCGGAGCGTCCCTGTTGCACCCGTCTGGCTTTTGTTCTTTTTCTCTGTCAGGATTTTCATTCTGGTGCTTTTTGGATATCCAAGTTGCCTGGAAAACTTTTCATTATTAATATAACAGGAAGGCTGATACCATTCTTAGCAGCTACAAAAAAATAATAGCAATCATATACGTAGAAAGCTCTCTCGAAGTACCTTTTGTTTGCTATAAGTTCCTGCGTCGCCTGCATAAGCAAATCTGTTCCAAGAAGACTTTATCAGCCGGCCGCAGCTCTGGGATTTTCGTTTTCCTGTTAAGAGGCTCGGACAGGCAGGCGTGCTTCGGAGGGCGAGGAGACGCGGGGACTCCTCCGAGCACGCGTGCGAGCGGTCGGGAGCGCGCAGCACCGCGGTCACTCTGGAGTTCATGGTGGGCTCTGCTTCGCCTCTGCTCACAGCCGTGTGGACAAAATGTACGAACGCCACAAGAGGCGGTACAGCCTGTGCGACATTTCCAAGGTGGACAGAACTGTAGATGTGGTGTTGCTAAAGGTATGGTGCTTGTTTATGTCTGTTAACTTGTTCCCTCCTTGAGCGCGGCCCACGGAGCCCCGAGCTGGGCGCTGTGGGGAGAGGGATCAGGTGGAAGGGCTCGCACCCTTCGGGATGCGGACGGGTTTGTGGTGACACTTGGCATGAAGTGCCTCGATATTATCTCGTAAGCAAATGATCCACTGCGGCATGCAAGCACGCTTCTGGAGAGCACTCTCTGGCCATCTTCCCTGTCCCCCTGTCTGCTGCCCCTAAGCACTCGCATCACGATTTGTAAACTTCATGCATCATAGGTGTTTTTCTGTGCCTTTCA